GTGTGTGTGTGTGTGTGTGTGTGTGTGTTGTCAGGAATGAACCAGGGCCTCACACTTGCTAGCCAATTGCGTTCTGGTGAGCTAGCTGTATTCCCAGCCTCTCCAGCTTCCAGCCAGCTCTCCCTCTTCACTGAAGGAAGGAGTTCTGGGTCACAGATATGCAATGCCACATTTACTTTCACGTGGCTTTCAGAGATCAAGATCACCAGGCTTGCTCTGCTGGCATTTTCACTTGCTGAGCCATCTTTCCAGCCCAAAGCTAGTTTTTTAACAAACCCAGGCCTTTACATGGTGTACTGATGAAGCAGCAGCATCAGACATGAACTCTGTTTAAGAGCAGGGATCAAAGGGGGACTGTCTGGAGGAGGGTGAGGAAATGGGGACCGCTGGTTTCTTAGGCATCTTTGTGTCCCATCCTGTGTTAGTCACTTTCCCATATTGCTGAGATCTTCAGAACTGGTGGAGTTCCCTGTAGTCCCTTTTTACTGGCAGAAAAACAGATTTAGTATGCTGAAGAAAATCAGGAGGGAAGAGTCGCCAGGCTCAGGCGCCCTGGCATGAAGCAGACGGAAGTGGCTTCTGCACTTGGCAATTCATCAGTGCTGTCTGCATGTCTCCCTGGAGATGCTGCTTCTGAATACATGTAAATACGTCCAGGAGTCAGGACAGAGCCCAGAAAATTCTTCCAGCCATACAGCAGCCGGCAGCTCTAGGTCAGGCCTCTCCAACCAAAACCTTGGCTGTGGACTCTGTTCTCAGCTACTTTGGATGAGTTCTTTGTGCTAACCTCAGCTTCCCCATCAGTGAAATGGGACTGATGGCCTATCCCTTCACAGACTGTTGCATAAGAAACACTCAGTGCTGAACAGTGCCTGCTGTAGTTAATGGCTCTTAAATGTTAGCCTCCACTGGCATCCCATCTCAGCTCAGCACTCTCTCTGAGCTGAGCATGAGAGCACTGAAGTTAAGAGTGGAGAGGTGGTTTTGGTGTTGTCTGGCAGAGGAGTGAGGGGGGCAGGTTTCCCACCTGACTTCATGGGATAACCCTTTTACCTTGCTTCTTCAGGCTCACCCAAACCATAAAATCACCGTGTTTTCTGAGAATCCCCATCCCACCAGCTTTGGTCTGTGTTGGAAATGATTCAGAATTGCTGGGCCCCTCTAGCGCCGTGGTTCTTAACCTGTGGGTCGAAACCCCTTTGGGGATTGATTGACCCTTGCACAGGGTCACCTAAGACTATCTGAGTATTAGATATTTACATTGTGATTCATAACAGTAGCAAAATTATAGTTATGAAGTGGCAGTGGAAACAATTTCATGGTTGGGGTCAGCACATTAGGGGCTGTATTAAGGGACAGCACAGCATTAAGAAGTTTGAGAACCACTGCTCTGGAAATGAGTCAAAGTCCCTCACCAGCCTGCTTCGCCATCCTTAGCCTCCTGGTCAGATCTTCTTGGTAGCCAGGCCTCTTCTTCAGCCCTGTTCTTTGAGGTACCTGCTATTTGACAAGTGCCAGTTACTGATGTTTATTTGGTGTGTTTACATCTATTAAATGGTTAGGTATATCCTAAAACTTATCATCCATTGAAAAACAAGCCATATGAGTTGGATGAAATAAAAATATGTGGGGTTTTTTTGGGGGGTGGGGAGTGTTAGTTGAGACCAAGTAGCCCAAGTTGTTCTGAACTTTTACATAGTTGAGACTGGCCTCAAACTTGGGAGCCACCATAGCCACACCCAGCCTCCCTCTGAGTTACTGTTGGTACAGTGGGCCTTCTTGAGCAACCTACAGTTTCCCAAACATCAAAGTGGGCAATCCCACCTTCATTTCCTTTCCTGCATCCCACCATCCCCTAAAGTTCTTTATGTCACAAGCACCAAATGCCTCACTGTGAGAATTTAACAGCAAAAGGAATGTGGTCAGTGTGGGGCCTGAGCCATCCCAACAAGGAGCCCCACAGGCATTGAGCATCCTGTCTCCTGTGCAGAAGCTGCTGGTACCCTTCTAGGTTCTCTGGGGAGCCCTAGGATATTTCGTACATTTTGGGAGTGATTGGAAATCATAGGTGAAGTAGTTTCAGTCAAGTTCACCAGTCTTTTAGAGGAAACACGGATCAAAAGCCAAAGTTCATGTGAGCTGATTAACCAAACTCGGTATTCTTTAAGTAGCCAGAAGAGAGACATTTCCCATTGATAGGCAGAAGTCCAAAAACCCAACATAGGCAAAGCTCCTGTTTGCCCAGTCAGCAAGTCTGGAAACAAAAGCCATGCCAAACTAGTCTGCTACTGCTGTCGCCCCCTGGCGGTGCCACTGCCGTGGACAGGCAGCAGCCAGCAAGTTCAGCATAGGAGTTCAGTAAGTTGTTCTCTCTGGGTTAACAAGAGTCCAAGTGTCCTCGTCACCAAGCATGGACAATCAGAGTGGACAATCAGGTGGACAATCCACCTCTCTGAATCCTCACACAGCCCTGGAGTAGGCAGCCCTGTCCCCACCATTCACATTGAGACTCAGTTGACAGAAGCAAGCGACCTTTTTGTGAATGGCCCAACCAGAATCTAAGCACAGATACTGTGTCCATGGCTTAGTGCTTCCTGGCATGCCAGGCTGCTGGTCCCCATGGATAGGAGTAAGTGACCCTAACTTCCACATCACAGTGGGCGGGGGGTTGGCCAGCCCCACCCTCGAAGCCTTCTGTACACTCAGATATGAGGAAACAGCTACAGAGTAAACAGTAATATAAGCCCAGGCCTGTGCACATGGCTAGTTTAGTCCTTTGGGAAATAAATAACTGGCCCTAGGGAGAGAGTCCAGTGGATGAAATGCATCGTGAGAACTGGGGTTCAGATCCCCAGAACCCTCATAAATACCAGGCAGGCATGGTGGCCGCCTGTAATCCCAGAACTCAGAAACAGAGACAGGAGTTCCCCAACCAAGCTGGACAGCTACACTCGCCAGAATTAATGAGCTCCAGGTTCAGTAGAGACCTTGCCTCAATAAAGTAGAAAACCATAGAGGTAGACACCCAGTGTCAGACCTTCACAAATATACACAGACCATACACACATATTTTAAGAAATAAAAGCAGGTAGTTATGCTGCAAAGGGGTCTGGAGAGATGGCTCAGCAGTAAAGAGCACTGGCTGCTCTTCCAAAGGACCTGAGTTTGGTTCCCAGAACCTACCTGCAGCTCACAGCCTCCGGTAACTCCAATTCCAGGAGATCTGGCGGCTTCTCCTCCCCCAGGCCCCTACATGCATGGAGAACAGATACATGCACTTGGGCACACAGGCACATACACATGAAATTAAATAATTTTTTAAAATCAAAATTGCTATGAGGGATGACGAGGAGCCAGTGTGGTGATTCCCAACCTTCCTATGTTGTGATGACCGGCAACCAAAAAATTATTTTTGCTGCTACTTCATAACTGTAATTTGCTACTGTTATGGATCGTAATGTAAATAAATATCTGATATGCACGTGGTCTTAGGCGCCCCCTGTGAAAGGATTGTTCAGCCCCCAGGGGTCGAGACCCATAGGTTGAGGATCACTGATCCCAGCAGCTCTTCAGAGAATCAACCATGGTGCCACACTTTATTATCCTAGCACTTGGTATACTGAGGCATGATTGCAAGTTCAAAGCCAACCTAGGATGCATAATGAGGCCCTGTTGGGGCCTGGGGGTGGGGTGTGAGAATTAACAAGACCTCATAGAAATTTTCCAGGCAGTTGAGCTGGGGGGAGGAATGTTTGGCAGACTGAGGGTGGACAGCTTTCCAGGAGCCTGGGAGAATTTGCTTTTGTGTGACTGTTATAGTCCACTATGGAACCGGTGTCTGACACTAGGGTTTACACATGGGCAGACAGCTTAGCCCCCGAGGGCCTGGCAGGCCTACCTGGTCCCACTTGGCCTGGACATCACTGCCAGGAGCATCACCAGCCTCTGTGCATAGAATACCAAGGGGACCAGCAGGATGCAGACCCCAGCCTGTCTCCCACCCTGACTCCCAGTCCTCTGTCTTTCAGGTACGGCTCGAGGTGTTCCGGGCAGAGGAGCTGATGGCTTGTGCTGGGCTGACCTCGCCCAGAATTGTCCCTCTCTATGGAGCCGTGCGGGAAGGACCTTGGGTCAACATCTTCATGGAGCTGCTAGAAGGTAAGGAGATGGGTCCTATTTTTCTCTCTCAAAATTCAAGGCCAGGAGTTAACCCCAACTTTGACCTTGGTCTCTAGTCAGTCCACATTGTACCCCCTAGCCCTGTGACACCCTGCTCTCGCACAACACCTGCCCTTCACTCTTGCCCTTGGCTTACGTGGAGGCCTGGGAAAGCCCCACATAAAAACTGGCTGTTCGTTTCCTAGGTGGCTCACTAGGCCAGCTCATAAAGCAGAAGGGCTGTCTGCCAGAAGACCGAGCCCTATACTACTTGGGCCAGGCTCTGGAGGGACTGGAATACCTCCATATACGAAGGATTCTGCATGGTGATGTCAAAGGTAAGGCCCTAGTCACCATGGTCCTGATCCCGGCAGACTCTTCTTCATGCCTGTCTACCTGGTTGTAAGCCTACCTGCTTGTCTTCAGAGTAGATGCCCGGGTCAGCTGACAGGGCTGTGCTGAGCTGGGAGGGAATGATGTTCTCCAGGCCCTCAGTCTAGCACTGTAGTCTCCAGGGTTGTTCACAGAAAACTGGAGACTAAACTCCTGCCCACTGGTGACTTGGGAGGATAAGGGGGAGGGGGGTGCCAAAAGACCACTCTCTGGGAGAGTGGTGGTGCCTGTTGCAGTAGACCCCACCCCAGATCCTGCCTGTGGCCTGCCCCTAGCCTCAACTGACAACCCCCCCACCCCCGCTTTCCATGACTAACTAGACTAATGAGAAGCAGCAGCTGCCATGGAGGACTTGGCCAGAAAGTTGCCTGATGAGAGGCCAGGTCAAGCCAGGCCAGGGTGGGCTGGGGCCTGGAACCTAAACTGACTTGCTGTTCCCCTTCTTCCCTTTTGCTGGGTGCGGCCTACAGCTGACAACGTGCTCCTGTCCAGTGATGGAAGCCGAGCTGCCCTCTGCGACTTTGGCCATGCCTTGTGCCTACAACCTGACGGCCTAGGAAAATCCTTGCTCACGGGTAAGGCACTGTTCTCTACCACATGATCACAATAGCCAGCAGCCATCGCTCAACGTTAGCCTTGCACCACTGTGCTTCCCCTGTGGGGATAAATGCTGTGGTCACCTTAGGTCCCCAAGTAGAATTCAGCCCCACAACCACCCTGGGTTACTCAGGGTTCTGGTTGTGCATAGATACAGTAATAGATGTAAGATGCTCTTTGACCTTGTGGCCTTACACAGCAAGGCCTGAAAGGCCAAAGATCCTGTCGGAGGACCAGACTTTATAGTCCTAGAACTCGCTCTGTAGGCCAAGCTGGCTTCAAATTCACAGAGATCCACCTGCCTCTGCCTCCTGAGTGCTGAATCTAAAGGCGTGCGCCACCATACCCTGCTAAGATCCATAGTTTTTACTTCCTTCCGGTGTATGTGGTTTATTGTTGACTTTGGTCTTGTTTCTTCATTTGTTATGAGACATGGTCTAACTGTGTGGTCCAGGCGGCCTCAAACACACAGTTGTTCTGCCTCAGCCTACTGAATGTTAGGATTACAGGCCTATGCCCTGCTTTTGTCTTTATCTTGTGTGTTAACATACAATTATCATTGTGACATTTTCACATGTACGTGTGTGTGTGTGTATGTGTGTGTGTGTGCGCGTGTGTGTGCATGTGTGTACTTGTGTGTGTGTGTACGTGTGTGTGTGTGTGTGTGTGTGTGTGTGTGTGTGTGTGTGTTTTACCTTGCTCTTATTTGCACCACCAATCTTCATCCATTCTCCCCTCCTTTCACGGGTCCCCTACTTGCCCCAGTCTTCCTTCTGCTTTCTTTTCTAAAACATGAGAATATTTTGCCTGCATGTATGTAAATGTCCACGGAGGCCACAGAGGACATCTGACCACTGGAACTGGAATTACAGACAGTTGTGAGCCACCATGTGGGTGCTGGGGATTGAACCTGGGTCTTTTGGAACCTCTTACTCACTGAGCCATCTCTTGAGCCCCTCCCTTCTTTCCTGCCATTTATATATGTGTATATGTGGGTTGTTTAATGGAGATCCTGGCCCTGGAGTTGAAGATAAAGTCAGAGAGTTGTAAGTCAGCTATAGTCGATGCTGGGAACGATACTTTCGTACATGTTCCTGACTACAGTGCCATCCCTTTAATCCTGGACATTCTATTACTAAATTACATGTTTTCTACCGTTTTGTTCAATGTTGGATAAAGCATAACAGCTTACTTAATAAGAAGATCCTGGGATACATTTACCCCTATCAAATCAAACTTTGTCATTTTGATTTCAAAGACATTTTATTATCTTAGTGTTCTAAACATTTCGCATTTGTCTCATGATTGCCACTTTACAAGTGAGACACAAATTGCATCGGATTTTTATTCTCTATGATTTAGGGTTCAATTAGACTGAATAAAAATTGCTTTTACCCCTCTAAAAAATAATAAATGTAGATCCTGTCTATGAGAGAAAATGTGTCTCATTTTGTCAGTTTCCCCCATTACACTCCATGTCCCCCTTTTGTCCTCCCTTTGGGCTTTCCCTCCCCTTTCATTAGTTGTCCTCTTCCAGCCACCCCTTTTTGTTTGTTTTTGAAAGAAGGTTACACTGTGTAGTTCTGGAACTCTCTATGTAGACCAGGCTGGCCTCAAACTCAGAGAGATCCTCCTGCCTCTGCCTCGGAAGTGCTGGGATTAAAGATGATCTCTACCACACCCAGCTCAACTGCACCTTCTATTTTCATGCCACAATTGCATCTATTTATATTTAATCTAAATTACAAGGCTGGGGATATAGCGTAGTTGGTAGAGTGCTCGTCTGACATGTGTGAAGTGTTGGCATGCATGATGGTACATGTCTGTAATCCCACATCACCTGTAAATCCAGGTGGAGAAGTTCAAAGTCATCCTCTGCTACATGTCAAGGTCTGGCAATCTTGAGTTTATGAGACCTTGCCTGTGTGTGGTGTGTGTGGGTGTGTGTGTGTGTGTGTGCAGTCTGCATGTGATGTAAACATGTGATTCTCGTCTTCCTGGATCTGACTTATTTCGCTTAACATGACACTCTCCAGTTCCATACATTCTCCTGCCAATGATATCATTTCTTTCTGGCTCTGTAAAAGTCCACTGTGTGTTTGCACCATATGTTCTTTGTCCATGCATCTATTGACAGGTATGTAGGCTGATTTCATGTCTTGGCCATTGTGAATAGTTCAGTGCCTCTCTCTCTGCCATCTAGCAGTAAAAATAACCCATGCCCATTGTAAAATACTTACTATAAAAGGAAAAGGAAGCATTTTACCTATTCCTCTTCCTCAAAGAGAAAATTATGAATAATTTGCATAATTACATAAGTTTTTCCATGCCTCCTTAAAACCATTGTAATTCAATTCTGAAACCTGCTTTTTCCACTTAAGAGTATTGAATATAGAATGGTTCATTTTAAAAGAGGTTCTGTTTTTTTGTTTTTGTTTTTGTTTTTAATGTGTATATGCAAATAGGTATTCAAGTGTCCTTGAAGGCCAGAAGAGGGCATTGGCTCCCCTGGAGCTGGAGTTCTAGGCAGTTGTAAGACACCTGATGTGGGTGCTGGAAGCAGAACTTGGTCCTCTGGAAGAGCAAGTAGTACTCTTTACTGAGCTGTCTCTCCAGCCCCCAGATGGTTCAGTTTTGAGCAAAGGGAAATAATCTATTAGAAGTCTGAGCATCCCCATCTGAAACTACTCTGAAGCTACAGCTTTCGGAGTGATAGGCAGACTCAGGCACACTGATGTTATGTGGAGACGGCCTATAGCCCACAGCGTTGGGTCTCATTTCCAAGACTGCATTCCTCTTGTATATTGGAAATATTCCTAGATTTAAAAAAAAAAATGAAAACCAGAATGCTTCTGCCCTCTTGTTTTGGATAAGGACACTCAGCCTGTGTCCAGCATGGGTAGTGTGATGTTAAAGGACTGTGTGGGTGAATCTATGGTCTAAATTAAACATTTACCTTAAAATGATATTAGTGATTCTTTTGATAATTCATTACAAAAATAATACCCTTTCTACTGTTTGTTTTTAAGACTACTGAGCAAAAATGTCAAGTTCAAAGTACCAGTATAAATACTGTTAGGTCAGCCGGTGGTGGTGGTGCACCTTTAATCCCAGAATTCAGGAGGCAGAGGCAGGCAGATCTCTGTGAGTTTGAGACCAGCCTGGTCTACAAGAGCTAGTTCCAGGACAGCCTCCAAAGCCACAGAGAAACCCTGTCTCAAAAAAATAAACAAAACAAAACAAAACAAAAAATACTGGTAGGTCAGGCATGGTGGCACACACTTTTAATCCCAGCACTCGGGAGGCAGAGGCAGGCAGCTCTCTCGGAGTTCAAAGTCAGTCTGATCTGCAAAGTGAGTTCCAGAACAGCCATGACTGCATAGTGAGATCCTGTCTAAAATAACAATAATAATAAAACATTGTTAGCCAAGCCTGTAATCCCAGCTACCTGAGAGGCTGAGGCAGGAGAATTGCAAGTTCAAGGCCAGCTTTGAGAACTTAGTGAGACCCTGTCTCAAAATAGTGAAAAGAGGGCTAGGCTCTCCCTCAATTGTAAAGTGCTTGCCAAACATGCATAAGACCCTGGGTTCAATCTCAAAAATTGGAAGGAAAAAGCTGACACCCACTTAATTATATATGCTGGCTGTTATTTGCCTGTTTAATAATTATTTGCTTTTGTGCATATGAATTTCCTGGGTTTCGTTATGGAGTGGGTTGGAGTTTGTTTATTTAACATGTCTGTTTTGATTTGTGGTTTTTATTTTGTGTTTATATATGTGTAATTGCTGTGACATTCCTAAACCATTAATTATATGAAAAAAAAAATGCAGCCAAGGTAAACATAGTGGCTCATGCCTGAAATCCTAACACTTGGGAGGCTAAAGTAGAAGACTGCTGTGAGTTCAAGACCATCCTGGGCTATAGAATGTGACTCTGTTTCAAAAAAAAATAGCTGGGCATAGTGGAGCACACCTTTAATCCCAGCACTCGGGAGGCAGAGGTAGGTGGATCACTGTGAGTTCAAGGCCAGCCTGGTCTACATAGCAAGTTCAGGACTATGTACAGACACCCTGCCTCAAAGCAAAACAAACAACAAAAAAACCATGGTCCAGTGAGATGGCTCAGCAGGTAAAGATACTTGCCGCAGGTCTGGTGACCTGAGTTTGATCCCCAGAACCTATGTAAAGGTGGAAGGAAAGAACCAACCCCACACAGTGACCTCCACAGGTAAGTCACAGCACACATCCACACACTAATAATGTAATTGCTTTTGACTTAAAGCACTTCACCTGGGGTAGCCCAGGAATTAAGTATTGTGGGCACTGATTCATATGTGGTGACTCTGTCTCTGGTGTTGCTTCCTCAGGGGACTGCATTCCTGGGACAGAAACCCACATGGCCCCTGAAGTCGTGATGGGGAAGCCCTGTGACACCAAGGTGGACATCTGGAGCAGCTGCTGCATGATGCTCCACATGCTCAACGGCTGCCACCCCTGGACTCAGTACTTCCGAGGCCCGCTCTGTCTCAAGGTCAGTGGTGGCCCCAAACAGCTGTGAGAGGAGGCCTGCAGGGCCGTGTGTCCAGGCCACAGGCCTGTGAGGGTTGTTCTTCCTCGGCAGATGTGAACAATGGGAGCTGTCTTCCGCCTGTCCCCTGGGCTACTTCCACCAGCCTCCTTTATGCTAAGCCTGAAAGACATGGTGTCTTGTTGCCAGGCTCTGGCCTGCCCTATTTGGATCCATGTTTCCCTTTCCTAGAGAGGCTCTCCCCACTGACTGAGGCCCAGCCCTCTGCCTTCTTGGGGTAGATCCCCAAGCCAGCATAGGACTGCTGGAGAGGAACGAATAAGGCTGCTAACAGTCTTGCATGTTGCGTTTTGGCCTCTAGATTGCCAGTGAACCTCCACCTGTGAGGGAGATTCCACCTTCCTGCGCACCCCTCACAGTCCAAGCCATCCAGGAGGGGCTGAGGAAAGAGCCGGGCCACCGAGCTTCTGCCATGGAGCTTCGGGGAAAGGTGGGCCAGGCATTACAGCAAGGTAAGAGTCCCATCGGCCTGGGCCGACAGCAAGCGGTGGGCAGAGAGGAGGTCAGAACCAGAGATGGTCAAAAATGAGAGAAATGGCTGATGCCAGGCTTGAGAGACGGAGGATGAAGGGCTATGACATGGAGAGCTGACTCAGAGTGCAAATAAATTAAAACCACACACACCCAGTAGCCACTCAGCTGATAAAGAACCAGAAAGTTGTAGCACCAAGTGCTGGTGGGACTGTAAGGTAGCAGGACTCCTGGGCACTGGGAGGGCACAGACAGGGCTGCAACCATGCTGGAGGGTGTCTGTTAGCACTCGGGAAGGTCCTTCACACACCCAGGACCCAGCCCCTCCATTCTTGCTGCACTTCAGCCCTGCTGTTAGAGGGAGTTGAGTGTAATTAAGAGTCCCGCAAGGGAGAGAGGAGAGGCAGGTGACTGGGGAATGGGACCTCGCCCAGCTCTTAGCAGCACTCAGTGTTCACAGAGTGTCAGGAACTGATCTGAAAGCTATAGGCAATGAGTGCTAAATGAAGATCAGAACCCCGAAGAGGAGGCCTGGAGCATAAGAGCTCTGTGGCAAGTTAAAAAATCAATACTGGAAGCAATACACATTTTAAGCTGGGCGTGATGACTCATGCCTGGAATCCCAGCACCTAGGAGGCAGAGGCAAAGAGGGTTGTTGGACTTTGAGACACCAGATATAGAGACGTCTTAAAAAAAAGAAAAAAAAAAAACAATAAAAAGTGACTGCTAAATGTGATGGCACACACCTTTATTCCCAGCACTTGAGAGGCAAAGGCAAATGGATCTCTCTAAGTTCAAGACCAGCATGGTCTACATAGCAAGTTGTAGGCCAGCCAGAGCTACATAGTCAAACCTTGTCTCAATTTTATATATGTGTATGTGTGTTAAAGTTGACACGTGGATTGAGGCATGTCTGTGATCATAGCACTTAAGAGACAAAGACCAGAAGAGTTTTAGAGGCCAGCCTGGGCTACATAGCAAGGCCCTGTCTCAAATGAAAGAGCGAGTCAAATATGGAGCGTAATAGAATGTAGTTCAGCAGATAGGAAGGAGATCAGCAGTAGTTAAAGGAATGAAAGGTGGGACTGAAAAGATGACTCAACAGTTGAGTGTACACACTGCTCTTCCAGAAGACCTGCGTTGAGTTTCCAGCATCCATGTCCCGGGCCTCACAGGCACCCGTGACTGAGCTCCAGGGCCTCTACTGCCCTCTTCTGGCCTTTGTGGGCACGGCACTCACATAATCCACACATACTACACACATAATTTTATTTTTTTAATTGATGGGCCATTCTTGCCTGGGCTGGTGTCTGCATGCCTGTACATTTCCCCCTCACCTCGGGTGCCTTCTCTCTTCAGTGGGAGGTCTGAAAAGCCCTTGGAAAGGAGAATATAAAGAACCAAGACCTCCACCTCCAGACCAAGCCACCTGCCACCAGACCCCTCCGAGGGAGAACCCACCAGCCAAGGCCAGCACAGACGGGGCCTCTGAGCCTCGGCCTCCTCTACCGCCAGAACCACCAGAACAGAGCAGAGCTCCAGCTCCAAACCTGAGCAAGGAGGAGTCTGGCACATGGGAACCCTTGCCTTTGTCCTCCCTGGAGCCAGCCCCTGCCAAGGGCCCCAGCTTCCCAGACCGGAGGGCAACCTTCCCAGAGCTGGAGCTGCAACAGCTAGAGATAGGTATGGTACTTGGGTGTGGCCGTGCATGCACACATACACAGGATTTCTGTTGCTGCTGTTCCCAGCCTCGCCTGTCTTCCACCCCATTCCTGGCAGGCCGGCCCTTGCAGGTTGTGCAGGAGGAACCCTGGGAACCTAGCCCTTCACAGCCGTCTTCCTCTTTTCCCCCCTCAGAACTGTTTCTCAACAGTCTGTCGCAGCCGTTTTCTCTGGAGGAACAGGAACAGATTCTCTCATGCCTCAGCATCGACAGCCTCTCAGTGTCAGAGGACAGTGAAAAGGTGAGCAGCTGAACGGCTGGGGCGTGGGCCCTGTGTATGTGGGAGGTAGAGGAAGAGCGATGAGCTCACCCCTCCTTTCTTGGAGGGGTCCTTGTTCCCCAGACTGAGACAATATGCGTTCAATACATCTGGGAGTCAGGAAAAGCTTTACTAGTAGGGAAAGTGGAGGATAGCTTTGGTCCCACACAGAAATGCACTTTCCCCATCTAGCCTAGGATAGGCTGGTTCTGACCCTAGGAAAGGCCCAAGGCCAGAAACACTTTCCTGAGTACAGGGCTGAGTCTGTGCCTACTCTTGTGTTCAGAACCCATCAAAGGCCTCTCAGAGCTCACGTGACACCCTGAGTTCCGGCGTGCACTCATGGAGCAGCCAGACAGAGGCAAGAAGTTCCAGCTGCAACATGGTGCTGGCCCGGGGACGGCCCACAGATACTCCAAGCTACTTCAATGGTATGGTCCACTTATCCCCTCTTACCAGCCCGCTCCTGCCAAGGACCAGGAATGGGTAGAGGGAGAGTTCATTAGCCTTTCCCCATCACAGAGGGGTCGGGGAGGAAGGTGTCTGCCACCAAAACCTCACATCTTTCCCTGGAAAGTTGGGTTTAGACTCACAAGGCTTTTCAGAGAAGGAGTAGAGAACCACTGTTCCTGCCCTGGCTACCAGTAGGCTTGTAGAAGGCCGACAGTGTGGGGAGGGAAATGGCCACTCCTGGGCTGGGGCCAGAAGCTGAGTAGCTAAATGCCTGCTGATGGGGAAGAAGGAACACACCCATGAGCATTTCGTCAAGAAGTCAGCAACGACTTCGTTGGCATCATCTCCCAGAATCTAAAGTTAAAAGATGAGAAGACACACAAATGTCCATCTTCAAGCTTATTTGCGCAGTTGTATTAGAGGTGGGCTTCGTCAGTACATAGTACTAGCCCTCCCCAGGGCCAGTGTGACTCACTGCCAGGCCCCATAGCAAAGGCACTTCAGCTCAGAGATACTCTCACGTTGCCTACAGTCTAATTTAGGAATGTTGAGAATGGAAACATGATGAGCTTGCTTCCTGTCTGGACTAAAATTGGGACGATATGACTCAAAGGAGCTAATGCTCAAAATTCATCAGCAATGACATAGTGTAAGGTTAGAGTGGCATTATTTAAGTAAAATGTTTATCAAGTTAGGATTGATAGCCCAGCTCATCTGCTACATATTTAGATTTTTCTCTTCTATAGTAAAAGAAAAGTCTCTGTTGGATCTTGAATTTTCTGGAACTGACTTGTTATTTAAAAAATATTTGCCAGGCATGGTGGCATATGCCTTTAATCCCAGCATTCTGGAGGCAGAGGCAGATGGATCTGTGAGTTTGAGGCCAGCCTACTTGAAAGAACAATACTCAACTACATATGGAAAAACAAAAAACCCAGGATAGCCAAAACAACCCTGATATTAACCCCACATTCTTACGAACAGCAATGGAATAAAGAAAGAAACTTCAACAAATGGCATAACTGGATGCTTGCATGTAGAAGACTGCAGATAGATCCATGTCTATTGCCATGCACAAAACTTAAGTCCAAATGGACCAAAGACCTCAACATAAACCCAGCCACACT